AGATTAGATGATGTCGGACATATCATCAAAAAATATTGCTGCTAAGAATACAATACATATGTAAGAATGAACTAAAAAAATACATATGCAAGAATGAACTCCACGGCCAAGGACTGGAATGCCACAATACCTATCAGACCTGTATATGAACCACTGAATGTTGCTCTCTGAAAATCCCTGAAGGTTACATTTTCAATGGCAAAAGTGAAGCACTGAAAGCTAGTAAAGGACTAAATCTGTGAAGGAGGACAAAATTGAGAGCCGTAGACTATGACCACCAACGCCAAGCCAGGAATTTCAATCTCCTTTAACAATTAACAATACATAAAACACCCAACTCTCACAAATGATTTTTTCATCCATCACTGAAGTGAATTCCCTTCGATCTCACATAAAAGCTAAGCTCCACCATAACTCAGGAAGTCAGAAAATAGGGTGCATCTACACAATAAATAATCACCTGAATGACATCATCAGGATCCATTAAAGAACTGAAATTGCGTTAATGCATAACAGTGCGCAGAAGGAAACCACTGGATACTCACCCGGATGTGGGCATGATTACATGCGCTAGCTGCAGTAAATTGCTGCTCCGAATCAGGTGAGCAAAGATGGCGGCAGGGCTTATCTCGTGTGGAATGATCGAGATACCACCAGATAACTCTGTAGCAAGCGGATGGGGCTGATTTCTATGTGCATAACTCTGGTACCTCCACCCTGTATAGAATAGAAGAATAAGGGAAAAAGTAGTTGACTCACATATACTGTATATGCCAACCTAAAGTCATCCAAGCCTTTCTTTAATCTTAAGTAGTGATCATGACTGGCATATGTAAAAAGAGTAGTAAGTTGTGGTCCTGACTCCTGAGTATTAGATGATTTGTTCGAGCCAATAGATTGCATGGAATGGTAGGAATGATATGCCATTGCTGTCCTATACGTACTGAAACAAATATAGGCACATATCATGTGTTAATCCAATTCAAACAATAAATTTCAGAGATGGGAAACTTGTTTTAACGCGAGCAAGAAGAGACCTATGCAGGATGAAACACAAATAGCCCTCAATACCTGCAGCAGATTTTGGAGCAGCCTGCGGCAAATCTGACAAAAAATAGATAAAACGTTAGATTGATGAAGTAGGGAAGGCCGAAGAACGATCTGAACTCACCACGCGTCGGGAAGTTGCGGTGGATGATGGCAGTCGAGCCTGGTATTTAAAGGCGAGCCAACAGTTCAATTGTCGTCATCAATTTTTTTTCTGGATTTGTGCCATTGTGCGTTGCCGCCGTTCGTTTCTTTTACCTCTGCAAGTAGCAGTGCTTGATTTACATGACCATACATAACAAACGACAAAGCAGGCCTTTACCTTCTTGTAGCTTCTGCTGTTGCAGTGGGATGAAAAACACGGGCATGCCATTGAGCGATCTTCTTCCACCCCTCGTGGTACAGGAACAACTCGTTACTGTCATTGGGAGCAGGAATGGGACGTAGGTCGGCTACATGTCGGTCCATGTGGTACCCGTTAGGAGCCAGCCGCACCAGCTTTTTGAGGGGCGCCAGCCCGCGAGCGTGATCCAGGCGGAGAAGAAGAGCACGCCCCCCAGCCTGCAGTTTCGCCAAATCCACCCAAGGGAGACGACAGGGGATCATTCGAATAAAATGCCACCGATCGTCACCACGAACTTAGTGCAGAGAACGCAATCGCCCCAGCCTGCAGTTGTTGCCGATCCACCCATGGGTGGT